TCTTTAAGGTTTTTGCCATAGGGCATGTGTGCTTACCGGAGGAAAACAGAAAGAGACAGTTTGAAGGAAATCACCCCTTGGAGGGTGGGGTGGACATGCCAAAATCCTTTCTCCATCTCCTCCTGAGATTTTGGACATGCATATACATATGCATGCACCTGGCATGATTTTCAAGCTGCTGGGTTTTGGACTCTAATTGCAGTCATCTACTGGGAGTTCAGTGCCATAACCACTACACCATCTACTGGCCCCGAGAGTTATTATTTTATGACCTGATTCTACTCCCTGATATATTCTATTATGGTGTTGAAAGGTGGGGCCTTTGGGAGATGATTTGGATTGAATGAGGTCATGAGGGTAGATTGCCCATGACTTACTCCTGGGGCCTTTGTAAAAACAGACACAAACACAAACTTGCTCACGCTATTGCCATATGATGACCCACACTGGCTTTAGACTCTGCTGAGCTGCTGCTGCCAAGAAGACCCTCACCAGGTGCAGCCTCTTGATCTTGGACTTTCAAAACCATGAGCTCAATAAACTTCTATTCTTATGAATCACACAAGTGCAGATGTTCAGTTACTAAGCAATAGAGAACAGACTGAAACAGGTATATCATAGTAGCATTAGCCAGGTCAGCTCTGGGAAAGAGATATTCGTGTCATTGGACTCCCTCCCTGCCACCACAGCCAATTAGTTCACAGGCTGGTTTATTGAAGAACCTGATGACTGAGAAAGGCTGATTTACATCTCAGAGTCCACAATTTTGTCCTTCAGATCATGAAGAGCTGCCTCTACAGTAATGTTCCTCTGGTGGGCATTTTATATGCACAAATATCTTAGTCTATGACCATTTTGCAGTCTATCCACACACTTCTCTATGCTCACTTTTTACCAATTATCTAATACTTCTCCTTCTAAGTCCTTGACCCTCAACCAAACCATTTGTGATTATTCATACATTATATATTTCTGGCTGTTTCTCTCCAGACATTGTGGATGACCAACTATCACACTGAAAGTTCTGGCCACTGGGAGATTAGTTTCTCTGTCACCATCGTCCTCCAGGTTTTCCCTGAATGGAGCTGTAATGCTGCAGCTGTCCACTTTTATATGGTGTTACCATACGATGAAGACCCTTCTGTAAACCAGCCCAACTTCAGTTAGTTAGTTATTCTCAGTTAACAGATTCCTAGAATGCCACTGCAGGTCTATCTTCTGGGACCATTTCTGGTGAACAATTTTGTATTGGTTAGGGTTAAGTCAAGAGAAAGAAACCACACAGTTATTTGAACAGGAAAAGTTTAATACAAAACATTAGAGGGAATTGGAGTAAGAAAAAAGCTAGGTAGTGAGAGTTAAAATGAGTTCTAAGCAATATAAGAAGAGTGGAAGTAAGATGTGACCACTCTACCTAGTACTAAAATAAGCACCATAAGATAATTTTTCCCTTTCTGGGGCTGAGATGCAAATTTTCCTGGAAAGACTGTCACCTTGTTTCTCCAAATGGTGGAGAAGTCAGTGGAGTACCTCATTAGTGGGACCTGTAGGAATCAGTGTTCTGGGAGAGGCTGAGGCTCAGAAAACGGGATAAGAGGTGCCAGAGAAATTGTCTGTTGGACACTGTCAGAACCAGGAGCTTAAGAGGAGCTCATCATGAGTGTTGTGCACTCAGTCAGCTCTGCGCAGCTGTGCAGGACAAAGGTCAGTGCCTCTGGCAAGGAGAAGACAAATGGTACAGCAGCCTGGGCTGGGCCAGGCCCATAATGTCTGGGTCTCTAGACTATGCTACCACACTGGTTAAATTTAATAAACACCATAAAAATTTGTGCTCTCTAGGAACTTCATGCTGTACAGTGGAGACAAAGCTCTCTGTAGGACACTGGTTAGTAAGCACAACAGAAACAGGAAGAAAAACCCATCCTTCTCAGTGTCATTCAAGGTCCTGTTAATATTACTGATGAGTCTGTAGAAAATAAGGATGGTCTCTGGGGGCCTGTAAGAAGTTTGGGTTTTTGTTTGTTTATTTGTTTGTTTGTTTTGGTAGAGATTCCATTGGGACTTGCCAGAGAGAGAGAGAGAGAGAGAGAAAAGGAAAGTGAGAAATCACCACCCAGGGAGGATGGCCATGCTGCAATCCCTTCTCCTTAATTCTTTTTTTAAGATCTTAGGCATGCAGACGCCAAGCATGAATTTCTTTCTACTTTTTTTGTTTTTGAGAGATTTTTGCTATAGAGCACGTGTGCTCTACAGAGAGACAGAGAAATAGAAAGTGAGAAATCACCCCCTGGGGGGGTAGGAGGGATATGGGCACACCACAATCCCTTCTCCATTCTCCTTTTAGGATTTTGGGCACATACGTATATGTGCCTGGTGAAGGGTCAAGCCTCCGGGTCCAGGACTAGTACCGTGGTCAGCCATGCGAGAGTCCAGTGACGTAACCACTATGCAGTCTGCTGACCCTGTGACAAGCTTTGAAAGAGAATAAAAGGTTTTTTAATTAATTATTTTATAAGAGGTTTTTTTTTTTTTTTTTTTTTTTTTTTTGCTATAAGGTGTGCATGGTCATCAGAGAGACAGAGAGAAAGTGAGAAATCAACCCCCATGGGAAATGGCCATATCACAATTCCTTCTATATTCTCCTCGAGAAATTGGCCAGGCACGCACATGCACCCGGCATGATTTTCAAGCCACGAGGTCCAGAATTCAGACTGGTCAGTTGGCCATATGGGAATCCAGCACCTTAATGACTACACTACCTGCTGGCCCCTTATTTTTAATTTTTACTCATGATAGAGAGCATGTTTATGAGAGGAAGAAAAAGAGAGAAGTACCTTGACAGGATTTTATCAAGTAGTGATCCCCTTTCCACAAATCCTCCAGCTTGTCAGGATCGTGGGCGTACACATGTGGCTGGTGTGTTTTCATGCCCACCTGAGGATCCCAACCCAAGGCTGGCCATGAGGCTTCCAGTGCTGCAGTTCAGTTCACTTCTGACTACACTGTCAGAAGGGGCTGCAAATTACCAGAGCTTTAAAACAAAACATTTCCTTTTCACTCCTTTTCCAAAGCCTGTGCTTGACTTGCTCTTAGGTCTGGCACAGGTCAATTACCTTAGCAGGGATGTCAGGTGACTGTGTGATCCAAGCCACTCATGAAATGGGTGCCATCACAACAACAAAGTCATGGAAATCGATGACCTTCAGAAACCATGCTCCCATGGGAATGTGTAAGTGAAAGCAGTCACAAAGCATATATTGCATGAGCATTTTGTGCTCACTCCCCTCAGGACTACTTCTACAATTTCATAGGGAGTTGCATTACAAGAGTTAACTAAGGGGTAAAAAATTCAGATCTGATTTACAGATGGTTCTTTATCATATGTTGAAATCACCTACTGCTATAGAAAAAGGAAGTCCTCCACTTGATACATGGCAATGTCCATCATGCGTCAATGGAGAGTCCAGGCTGAGATTTTATATTGTTTCCAGGATAAAGACGGAAGAATTGACTGGATGAAGACGTGGAAGGAATGAGGAATGAGGATGGTAAAATGTGTATGGATGGGTTCCTTGGAATGGTCTCAGAATAAATATATTTGTAGCCCACAGATGACAATACTTTCAAAAAGCCCCCCCTTTTTATAAGTTTACATAACCAAACGGTAAGTTTGATAAGAATGATTGCTCTGTGGATGCTAATCTAACTGCTTGTCGAGGCATCCCGGTGCTTGTTTTATGTCCTCATGGGCCAAGCAGCCATGGAGGCAAGGAGGTATGTTGAGCATCCGGGCAGCAATAAGGATTTCACTTCTCTCAAGGGTGATAGGCCTCCTCCACTCCTAAGTGTTCCACTTGCCACAGAAGTGACTACCCACTGTCCTCCACCAACACCAGATCTGGAAGGTGCCATGACTAGTCTTAGTGGAAAAGACACACGGGGTTTGCTTTTTCTGCTCTCCAACCTGACTGTGGAGTGGACACATGTCCTGAAATCAATGGGCTGTACAACGGATGGTTAAGAGGAAATGTTATTAAGACCTTGTCTTCTAATCTGAAATAAAGATATTCACCATTTCCTCAAATATAGAATTCTTACATATATCTTTTAACTTATTTTTTAAAATGTAAACACGGCCTACTGAAGAAAAGTCATGGGGTTAGGGAGAGTACATAAATAAAACCTTACCATAGTCCAAAAAAGTAATCCAATTTTCCATTATTTTTGGAATTGGTAGTTAAAAATTAAAAATAAAGTCAGCAGTGAACAGCTAACCGCTGCAGCAGCGCTAGGACTGAGTATTTCTGAGGCAATGTCCAGCCCTCCTAGCTGTCCTTGGCTCTTGGTAACATTCTTGCTCATTAACTTCAAGAAGACTTCCAGGGGTAGGGACATTTGAACGTGGCTGAACATAGTTCTTTAAGTCTCAGCTTCTCTGGCTTGATAGTGAAATGTCTGCACGGTCTAACCACTGAGTCAAAAAGCAGTTACAAAACAGAGGTTTCATGTTTTTATTTTTCCATTAGCTTTAGTAAAAACCGATTCAAAAATCACAACCAAGAAAACAGGCAACCACTAAATACAGGAAATACGGGATTGGTTTTTCTCTAGGCGGGCTGGGTCGGCTGCCTTCCAGCCCAGCAGAGGATCCCGCGAAGTGGACGGTTCACTCGTCACCTCCCAGGGCCTGCCGCCTGGGGAACCTTGGCTCGGCGCCCCACTCCCAGCGGGTCAGCGCGAGCGCGCCCACCGCCTGCCTTCGGGAGCCCCCTTCCCCCAGGGGGCAGCCGTCCCATTCGTCGCGGGAGTCCGACAGTTCCACCCCGGCGCTTCCAGGCGGCCCCAGGCCAGGTGGGGATGCGCCTGGGCCCCGCGGCCGCCCTTCCCGGCTCGGCGCTGGTCCCGGCAGTTCCGCGTCTGCGCGGCGGGCGAGGGGCTGGAGCGGGGCCGGCCGGGGAGG